AGAGAGGTTAAATGAGTTGCCATGGTAATCATCATTGGTTGTTCTTGAGAAAAGAGAGCTGTGACTGGGATCCACAAATGACAACATGGAAGAGGCAACCCAGTCTCTAAAACCACAGACCAGTGCTGAAAAGGAGGTAGATATGGATGAGAAAAGAAAGGGGACCAAGCAAGCTTCAGATACTGAGCTCTTATAACTCCAAAGGGTGCTGACCTAGGCTAGCTCAAGGCACAAGTGCATCTCTTTCTATGATATGTTTTGAGGAGTCCCTCAAGGAATTCCCACATTCCCTTCTTTGGGCACACACAGTACCTCCGATTCCATAATCATTTTTCTCCTTCTATTAATTAGGACAGTACTTCTTAAACTTTTCCACTGAAGCTTTCTCAATGGCAGAGGCACATAAAGGCCACTCTGGGTGGGTGGTGGTCTGGAGCAGAGTTTCAAGAGGGAGAGAGAGACATTTCTGAATCTGGTGTTTTATCTTAAACTTTAATGTAGAATTCACATTTTTCTCCACAATAAAGTTTAAAAATACATGGGTATTTTTAAAACACATGTATTTTATAATAAAAATAATGACCCTTTTGCAAAAGTGTGTGTGTGTGTGTGTGTGTGTGTGTGTGTATGTGCATGTGTGTGTTATCTTGTTTGTCCTCTGGTTTCTGTATTCTTTTGGCAGACTGACTTATTTCTCACTGTAAAAACAAGATTTCAGGAATTCAAAGCCCTGGTTAAAATTAAATTGTACCTGACATGATATTACTTTAAGTTTCTGTCACTAATTAATACAATTGTTATTAGATTAACCTAAGGGAGAGTAGGACATTGAGGTTAGGAAGTAGAGAGTCAACAGAAAGAAAAGTTGAAAAATTCTGTGGAATTGCCAGAGTATTTGAGTTTTGTCTTGGGTCTGAACATCACAGTGGTAGTGATTGTCCCAGACTGTGGCCTCCACCTAGCCCCAAACTATGAGCAGCAGTGATCAGAACCCAGATCTGAGACTTTCTTGGCAAAAAGAATCTTGATTTTTTCAATTTGTTATATTTTTCAGCCACTTACATTATTTTGGGCAATTTTGAGGCTACTTTGACATATGCAAAGTTGAAACTTTCATTGGCCTTACTCATATCTCCTGCAATTCACCAAGCCTGACGGGAAAAATCTGTAGCTATGATTGAGACCAACCAACCAACAAGCAAGCAAGCAAGCAAGCAAATAAACGACACCTCTTTCTTACTATCCTTGTCAATGAAAATGGTTGATGACTAGGATTCTGAATTCAATTCTGTGCCTATATATGACAAAGGAATTCTACGATTTGCCAATTGCAAGATAGAGAAGAAAATGTATTTTGAAAGCCACCCTAAAACACAGGATGACTTTCATGGAATTTGTGATTTTGATTAAAACTAAAATGAAGTTCAAGTTTTTCATGAAAAACACTAAAAACTGTAATGTAGACTTAATGCATATTTAATCCTCTCTGCTTGACCTCCCACAGTATTTTCTCTTTTGGATCCAGTAGATTGTTGGAGCCAGAGGAGAGCTTGGAGATCATCTGCTGTCATCCAGGTTTATAAATGGGAAAATGATGTCTAGACTGGTGACCTACCCAAGGGCCCTCAACTCAAGGGCCCAAGGGCCCTCAGCTGGTTGGAGTCAGATCTTAGACCACAAGCTGGATCTCTAGACTTCTGGGCCAGAGCTCTTCCTGCCACACCCTGTTTTGGTGGGACTGATGGAAAACAAGTTGTTTTTGTGGAACCTACATACGTCTTGGCTTAAGGTCTCTTGCTGAGGTCATTTAGATGTTAGGCATGACTGGAGTCCTCATCCCCAAGGCCAGGAACCACAAATGTATTATTTGGCTACCAGAGGCTATCAAAGAATTGCTATATTGAAAAGTCTTAGAGGTGGACAACTGACTGGGAGGGGAAGGAGATCAGGGAACTGGTCACAGAGTTCTATTTGTATAGCAAGGACATGTTTTGCATATAGATCATATTTTTATTTTGGGAACTCGGGGATGCTGATGGAGATTATACCAGGTAACTGGTCCCGCCAAGCTCCTCCTGGCAACATCAGTACAACTCATATGCAGAGTCACTGTTGTCACCCCCGGGAAGAGATGGGGAATCATTTAGTAAATTACTTTCTAAATATCAAAAATTTTCTCAGATCTTTATACAATAGTACCCACACTTAACCATTACTGGGTTGTAGATTATAGTAGTTAAAAGTTATACTTTAGAGCGCAACAAAGCTGGGTGCAGACCTTGGCCATGCACCTTATTACTGTTGTACCAGGCTTACTATACAAGCTCAATGCATGTTATTGGTGGAGAAGATATAAAGTGACAAAAAGCCACTGTGGATTCAGTTAACTCACATTTGTATTTAAAAATTACAACAGCATCTACAAACAAATAACTGTGAAATATCTGCAATTGGAATCATTTATTCAGACCATAGACAATGCTTTGAATTGATTGATTTGAACCTATTGTAATAATTACTGTGCAGGGTCATTGATGCATAGTGCTAGCACCTTGTACATAGTGGAAGAGCACAGATTTTGGAATCTTATAGACCTGGGTTCAAATCCCAGCTTTGCCATGTCCTGTTGTGCCATCTCTGACAAGTTGCTTAACTTCTCTGAGTCTCAGTTTCCTCATCTCTAAAATAAGGAATAATACCTACCTTACAGAGCTGTTGGAGGATTGGATGATATAATGCACATAGAAACCTGATGTATGATGAGTGTCAAATAAATGTTTATTTGTATTCTCACAACTTGAGCAAAGCTTAATAATCCGCATCAGTTTGAAAACATTTATTTAAATTGCAGAAGACCTGGGCATTAAGACCTTCATGCCCAGAAGGACTTATAACTCTACTATATGAAAACAGGGAGAAGAGTAAAATATGCTTCACGTTTAACAGTACAGTACTTTCAGTGTTTTATTTTTAAATAAAAAATACTCATGGGGGCCTTGAGCACAATGTCAATGTGATGTTGCCACTGTTAATGGTGATGGCTCATTTGTTCCTGAGGGAAATATTGGAGAAGCTGGACCCATGTAAAACCTCTTATTAAAGAGTGGCCTTGATTACAGCACCTGTGGTGATGGTAGAGCTGTCTCCCTTCCCCCACCACAAGTCATTTTCATGATAGTCAGGGCAGGAATCATCATTGGTTCAGAACATCCCTGCCCTCTCTCCTCCCCCCACCTTTTTTTTTTTTGGAATAGAAGACTGGAGGCCACTTAAAAGGAAATCTATTCTACAGACAGGAAGGCAGTCAGGGCAGAAGTGAATGTAATGAGATAGTGCAGAGATCAGCTTCATGAAGGCATGATCTCCTAGAAGTTGTGGTTTATTCATTGCCAGGGAGCCTGGCAAGTTGGTTGACTCAGGCCCTTCATCTTTCCCATCTCCTGCTCAGTCTCTCTCACACCTGTCTTCATCTTGTGGATTTATGGAAGGATTGTGTACAGTGTTAGAAACTTCTCATACATGTGAAAGGGACCCATATAAAACTTCCTCCCCTTTGGAAAATGTGCTTTGTCTATTTCAAGAATGTCTCTTCCATTTCCTGTTCCCAGCACTGCACAATGTGCTTTTATCTCTTCCTTTGGACATAAATGTGAAGAAAAATACTCCATCCTTGATAAAAATGTTCATACCTGGCCAAATCTTTTTTTCCCATTTCCTCAGATAGTTTGGGAAACCAGCACTCATATTGCTACTCCCTGGCTTTGTACTGATCTCCCAGAGCAGGTAGTCAATCTTGGCTCTGTTTGTCAGTGTAGAATTGGAACAAGAAGCCCTGTGGCATATTAGTATGTGGATCATGCGACAATGGAATGAGGAACAAAGAGCAGGAGGCTCAAACCTCAGGCAAACAACCAATCCAGGAATGAGAGCTGCTAGTAGTTCCTGTTTATCTTTTTTATGCTAATTATCTGCTTCTTGTTCTCAAATTTAGAAGCTGTTGACCTTCCTCAATTTTAGATACTGTCCACCAAATATATGCCTCCACTACAACTTGGGGGTTCATTAGATTAATTAATTAATAGTGGTTAATAAATGCTTTGAAATATTTTTATTAAAAGGGCCACCTAAGTCCAAAGTATTATTATAATCAGGTCTAATGAGGTCAGTGGCTTAAAGAGAGGGTTTTAAACCATATATAAACCTCCTCCAATGATCAGTGGTACAGGATGAAGGTAAGAAGAGGCAGGTGAGTCTACATGCTGGCATTTAAAACTTCCCTCCACCGTGGCAGATCCACACTGAAGTCTGCTTGGACTGAAGCCAGGTACTCACAGATCTACCAACTAATGGATTCTTAAATTTTTTAACCTTTTAGGACGAAGGCCACTGCTTTGTTAAAGCCTGGCGTGCAAGGTGGTGCTGAGAACGGGGAACCTTCCCAAACTCAGAGGGGAGACTTTCTCTGCAAGTTCACAAACCAGGTTAGTGCTAGCCTTCTTGTGTCTTGTAGAACACTTAAGCTGTCTTTTGAATGACACCAAGAATAGAGTCAATGGAGGAATGTAGGGAGCACAGCTAACCTCTTCTGAGTCATGATCTCTAATGCTCTTCTCGTGATTTCTTATGATTTTCTAAGGAGATTGGTATAAGAATTGGAACAAAATTATGATGTAAGCAATCTTGGAGATGGGATGGGAGTGTGTGTGTGTGTGTGTGTGTGTGTGTGTGTGTGTGTGTGTAACATTTCATAGACTCATGTCAATATGAAGTTGGATTAAAAAGAGTTGGGAGGTTATACTTAGACAAGAGAGTGATTCAGTGAACCATAATTCTGAGCCTATGAGAATACTATCTTGGAACTGGTGAAAAAGTATTATATTATAAATGACTCTAAACTTTTTAAAATCAAAACAAGTTTCCTTTAGGAACCTTTCAAGTTTTAAAATTAGCCAGTTTCTCTTTCAAATCATAACAGGTGCTGCAGGATAAGATTCACCACCATGCTATCCTCTATCCTGTTTTGGGGACTTGTTGCTCTCATTGGTAAGTCACTGATTGACATTTAGTATTGTTTTCAGGGTGTCCACAAAAATATGCAGCACAGTCATGAATCAGAAAAGACAATGATTACATGCAATGGAGGGGTGGGCACTCCTAATCAGCCTGGCCATCAATCAACTGCTTATATCTATAATCAAGAGTGTATTCTGCTTGCCAAGCAGGTGAAGGTGATCTCAGTGAGAATTTATGGAACAGTGCCTTAGGAGGCAAGACATATGAAGATAAAATTATCAATACCAGGCAGTAAATAAGAGTTAAATGAATATAGACACAAAAGACACTAGTCTTGGAGGAGTTTAGGATGAAGAGTTCACATCTAGTCAGGATGTTGATACCAAAAGGCTTTCCTAGGGGATGTGATACTTGAGGAACATTTTGTATTTTGATAAAAGAAGAAAGGAGTCACTGAATGGATAGAGTGACTTTAGTACAGAAAAGCAGAAATGGATGAAAAGTATTTGGGATGCAATAAACAGATCAGCGTGACAAGAACAGAAGTAACGATTTCTGAAGGGAAGGCTAAAAAGTTAGGCTGGTGAGATGGTGAGGGACTTTGAAAAAGAAAAAATTGAAATTTTGGCTTATGAAAAATAAAAAGACATTGTAAACAATGTCCAAATTGTCTTTATGAATAGAGTGAAGATTGAGAAGAAAGTGTTTCTAAAATGTTTAATTCTAAATTTGAAAAAGTAAGACTACAGAAAAGTGATGATTTCCAATTATTTATATGGTCAAAGGCAGGGGAACATAGTTTAGAATTTTTATTCCTTCTTTAATTCCCAGGTGACAGCAGAGTTACATAGCTAGTAGACTAATTATAAGCTACTATACTATGTTTAACTGAAAGGTGACTATAATTAAGAAGGCCTGTGTGTTTACGATGTCAATACAAGTAGCGTAAAGTCCATGGTCATATTATAATCCCCTTAAATCAAACTTTGGTATGCATGAATCTGTTGGGAATCCTGGTTAAAGTGGAGATTCTTTGACCTTAAACCTAAAAACTGGCTCAATAGACCTAGAATGAGGAGGCCATAGATATGTATTTTTAATTTTTTTTTTCAACGTTTATTTATTTTTGGGACAGAGAGAGATAGAGCATGAACGGGGGAGGGGCAGAGAGAGAGGGAGACACAGAATCGGAAACAGGCTCCAGGCTCCGAGCCATCAGCCCAGAGCCTGACGCGGGGCTCGAACTCCCGGACCGCGAGATCGTGACCTGGCTGAAGTCGGACGCTTAACCGACTGCGCCACCCAGGCGCCCCAGATATGCATTTTTAATAAGCATACAGATCACTTTGATACTTGTGGCCTTTGAGCCACATATCGAGCATGGCAAAGGCTGACTCTCTAGTGGAAAGAAATGGAAACTTTTGACATATGGACACTTGATACAGATAATCCCTTTACTTCTCATCCATCCATCTATCCATCCATCCATTCATGTATCTATTCACAAATATGTACTGAATGTCCACTTTATGTCAGGCATTGTTCTAGGTGCTGAGGAAGATGTAGTAGAAAAAAAATGTTCTAGTGAGAGAAACAGACAGAAAAAAGAGAGGAAGAAATAAAAGAAGAAAGGAAGGAAGACATGTCAGATGGTGATACGTGATATAAATAAAATAATGTAAGGTAGTGGGTGACAAGGAATGAGGCATGAGTATGTTGCCTTTTTAATGTAAGTAGGAAAAAAGGCTCTTTAATAAGGTAATTTTAAAAAGTTTGTTGTAGAATGTTTCAAACATATAAAATGGGGGAGGGAATAGCATAATTAACTCCCATGGACCCATAATTAACTCCCATCAAGCATCTATGGTTTTCAACACTTTGTATTCTTATTTTTATTTATCCCTCATCTCTACAAAAAAAAATTTTTTTTTTGGTGATGGGGAGGTTGAAATATTTTAAAGCAACCCAAAACATCAAAACATTTCACCTGTAAATGTTTTAGTATGTGTCTATAATGTGTAAGAAACAGTTCTGGTTCAAGTAGAGATCAAGTTCTGGTTCAGTCCAGATCAAGTAGGGCTTGGAAGCCAGAATTGAATGATTGGAAAGCTATTGGAAGGTTAAGAGAGAAGACTGATATGATTCCAGGCATGTTTCCATAGACTACTCTGGCTGCTGGGGATTAGACTGTAAGGGTGGAGGAGGGAGGTCAGTTAGGAGGCTATTACAATAATCAAGATTAGCAATGGTGATTTGGACCCTGGTGGTGGTAGCAGAGGTAGTGAGAAGTGGTTAGATTCTGGATATATGTTGTCAGTCTGCACCCTCACTCACAGCTTCCATGCCTCTATCTTACATATAATCTATGTCATGGAAATCTACTCATTCATTCATTAATTCATTCATGTATATTTCCTACACATATTGTAGGCACAAGGTATACCGAGGGCCATGGAGAGTGCCAATGTGATGGTTCCTGCTCTTTGCCATCACATGGAAATCCACACTGCTTTGAAAAGCTTTTCTAGTTTCTGCTGCTTTTATTATCTAAATAGGCTTTCTTACTATTCTGAGTTTACTTGATAGTTGCACTGTCTGACTTCCTTGTCCATTTACAAACTTTTGGTTTTTTTGCCTGTTTGTAGACAGGAGAGAGTAGATTGTGCCTGTATTTTTATTTGTTTAGATGAGTTTTGCTTTTTATTTTTTATTTTTTTAAAAAATTATTTATTTATTATTTTTGAGAGAGAGACAGAGTATGAGCAGGGTAGGGGCAGAGATAGAGGGAGACACAGAATCTGAAGCAGGCTCCAGGCTCTGAGCTGTCAGCACAGAGCCCAATGCAGGGCTCGGACTCACTAACCTGGAGATCACATGACCTGAGAGAAAGTGGGATGCTCAACCAACTGAGCCTCCCAGGTGCCCTGAGTTTTGCTTTTTAAACAAGTTAATCTTTAGAGTTGCTTTGTTTTCCTTTTAAAATAAATATTTTTAAGGAAGAGTTCCATTGGTTATGTGCCTAATTCTAAGAGAGTCTCTTTATACTGTCAAGTTAATCAGAACCAGATTAACTGTGGTGAATGGTCCTATTTAAAAACACCATTTACAACACTAAATGAAACAACAGCGTTTTTTTTAAGTTTATTTATTTATTTTTGAGAGAGAGAGGAAGCTAGAGCAAGCAGGGGAAGGGTACAGGGGTGGGGGCGGGGGAGAGAGGGAGAGCCTGACGTGGGGCTTGAACTCACTAACTGTGAGATCATGACTCGAGCTGAAATCAGGAGTTGAACGCTTAACTGACTCAGCCACCCAGGTGCCCCAACATAATTTTTTACATCAAGTGTTTTAACAAACATAATTTCTTACAACAAATATATGTAGTCTTAAGATATTAGTCAACAATCTTAGGAATTATTAGAACAAACTTTCCAACTTACAGAAAAGCTCTTTATCTCCTTTAGCAAATAGACTTGGACAGAAAGTCACTTCATAATGATAAAATAAAAAATAAGAATGAATTTAACTTAAATTTTTATGGTAAGTTAAATTTTATTTCCAAGGTTACTAACTATACTTAGACACTCAAATTTGTAGAAACATGATATAAAATGGATATTTTAAGGTAATGGCATCCTTCTTTTTTATCTTACATGGTATTTTTACCCTTCTTTCTTATATTCCTAAACAAAAGCAGTTGTTAATATAAGTGCTTATATCCCAGAAGTATTTGTGTCAGAAGCGTCTTAACATTTCTCTCAAAGTTCCTGCTTAAAACTCTAGTGTAGCAATTTTATTTATTTAAAAATTTTTAATTTTTTTTTTTTTTTT